TGTAAGATCAGCTCTTGATGAAGACATCTGTGAAGATTGTGACAACATCCAGACATCAGTTGGCACATTGAAGTTAGCAGTTCCAGGAAAGGCTAATAAACATGGAAAAATGGAATGAATAAAATACAGACTAAGGGGGACTTTAAAAATCAACATCTCGAATGTATGGATGGGATATCTGGTCGAACAACCGCTGGTTGAACAAAAAAAAACCCCAAAACTATCATCTATGGGCTGCCTTACTCTTCATAGCGACCAGTCTTGGCTTTCCAGGGCACTTACTGTTACAGCTTTATCCAGCCTGCTATTGCCTTATTGTTGCTGACCCAGATTTTCCAACTACTATCTTGTCTACTGCCTTTTTATTGCTGAGCTGGACTGCTTGATTACCCTCTGATTATCACTTGCCAAGAACCCTGCTTGTTCCTGACGACTCTCTGCTAGCCAGCTGCCTTGCTCTCCTTGCATGGATCTAAATACTCTCTAGTCTTCTGCTCCACCCACTGTCTCAACACTGTAGCCCCTGTGTTCCTGCCACCCGTTGGTGGGGCAGTCCTGGTGCCAGCTTGCAGTAAGCAACACTGTCCAGCTATAACTTCTGCCAGAGCACCCTCCGCTGCTGCCCCACACATGCCTGTCCCGCTTGTTCCCAAGGTGCATTTACTGGACTACTTTTCAGGAGACCACACCCAGTTGCCTTCTCTAGTTCTCCTAGTAGCCCAAGACCTACCCTGATGAGCATACCAGAGAAGGCCCTGTTCTCTCTGTTGTTCAGGCAGAACCTCAAGCCTCACTTTTCAGACCACTTTAGCTAGTGTCACTTTGCTGTACAAAGTGCTGAAGGAACTCTGATTGATTACCCTCATCAAATGCCCACCCTCTGCTTACTAACTGCCAAGACTGCTTCATGTAACTGATTTCTCTCTGCTATTCACCTGCATCAACCCCTGCTTGGACATGAATACTTTATTCTCTGGTCTCACCCACCATCTCCGCACCATACAGCCTGTGTTCCTGCCAACCCCTGGTGAGGGGAATTTTTAGTTCTTGGTGCCAGAATCTGGTGCTAATTTGCAGCAAAGAAAGTGGGGGGGTCACTGGGGTAGGGTTCCCAACCATCATTTCTCCCTGCTGTATGCCTGCACTCCACAAATTACTGTCTCTGCTGGTACAAGCAGGGGTAGAACAGCAATCAAGTAGATCAAAGTAATAAATATGGGCAGCACAGTGGCTAAATGGCTAGCACTTCCGCCTGGCAGTACTAGGGTCATTGGTTCAAAACCCATTCACGGCAACACCTGCCTGGAGTTTGCATGTTCTCCCTGTGCCTGCATGGGTTTTCTCCGGGTACTCCAGTTTCCTCCCACACTCCAAAGACATGTTGGTAGGTTACTTGGATCCTGTCTAATATTGAGCCCAGTATTTGTATGTATGAAAGTAAGTTAGGGACCTTTAGATTGTAGGCCCCTTGAGGGTTAGGGACTGATGTGAATGTACAATATATATGTAAAGTGCTGCGTAAATTGATGGTGCTTTATAAATAATAAATAAAATAAATCAAAGGGCACACACAGGACATAAGAGGCAGTGGGTTGTGCAAGGTACACAAAGGACAGCAGGCGGCAGGCACAAAGTGGGGAGGATCAGTGACAGGCAGGGCACACTCCAGTGTTGCAGCAGAAGGGAAGGAAGTGGGGGTGTCCCTTTTATTTAATGAATGGCTGCAGTCCACAGCTTGTCAGCAAATGATGATAGCAGTTTATTAATAAACAGTCTAGGTGACCCTTCTGTTATACGCTTATGGCTGCTAAAGTGACCATGAACTTTTAGAAGGGAATTCAGTCAAGTGGGCAGCTTGAATCAGTTCTGTTCTGCTGTAAGTCTTACGTTGGTTGCAGCATAAAAGATACATTTGAAAGTAGAGCAGTAGAGGATATTCCGGTAGATTACATCCTAAATATTTTGATATGTCTTCACAAAGAAGTTGGTACTGCCTAATATATGGTAAAATAAAAACGAAAGAAAAGGTGCCGTTATGGCTAAACAAGATTCAAATAGCCTACGCATGTGGCCAAGTTGACATCCATCCCCATGTGCTAAAGGAAAAACAAAGTAATTATAATATATTGCAGTTTGGCAATCCTTAGAATTTTTTTAGCTTTTTTTTTCAACATTTTTTCTATTTCACCGGGTAATGCTGTGAATAACACACTTCTGGTACACTCACTCTGCTGAACTTCAGACTTCAGACATGTCTGCCTTTGTTCATTTCCATGGTAGCTAATGGGACCAATGGTGTACAAAATAACTTTGTTTTTGTGGTTTTTTCAGCTCACAAGAAGTGACAAGGACACTGCATTTCTGACCAGATCAAGCTGTGTTTTCTGTGTTTGCCAAAAATGTTCTTAGCCTAAAAAAATTAAAACTAATATAGCTACCACATCTGACGACAGTTAAACTGCAATGTGGCACATTTTTTATGTTTGGGTTGAGATACGCTTTAACATAACTCCATATAAACTGAAATTAAACTCAAAACCAAAAATGTAATATATTGGAGGTTAGACGGCTGCAGTACTGGCCAGTAACACACCTCCTGAATTAGAGGGCCTTCACACTGGATGAAGGAGCACTGAGACACCTTTGAACAGCAGCATTGTCAATCTGTGGAGAGGGAGTGTTGGAGGCACTTGTAGATTTTACACTAAGAAACTGAAGCCAAACTCCAAAAACTGATCATTGTAAGCACCCCTGTCAATGTTCAATGGTTTGTCCCAACCATTGAAGTCAGCCCATACATTAATCTTTTTTTTTTTTTTTTTTCAGTGAAAAAGCAGTTTGAACGAAAAAATTATCTGATTCCCCATCCATACATTTCAGGTGGATAGGGAATCCTTCTCACTGTGCTATTGTCTTCTGACAGTGGGGAGCCTTCCCCATCTTCAGAATACAATGGTCAGTGCTGCCAGCTACATCTAGCGGCACTGATCAATTGGGAAAAATCCGAAAGGCTGGTTGTACAAAAGTCGACTGGTAGATCGACGTCTGTAGAACGAGGGTGCCCATACATGGATTGAAATTCGTCCAGTCCCTGTTGAACTGCCTGAATTTTGGTCCATGTATGGTTGGCTTAACTGTTTCATCTTCAAGACAGCTTGTTTTTTTGATAAACAACAGACTTACTGGCAGGATCAACAGGTGAAAATTTATAAAAGAAAGCATTAAAAAGAATACTAATGGAGCCTTATATCTAAGAATTGGTATGCTGCAACATAGTAAATGTTTATTTTTGGGTTTAATACCAATATCAATAGAAACAACAATTCTCTCTGCGTGAGAAAAAACAAGAACTAACTTTAATAACCCCTTACACACGGCTCAGTTAAAGAAAGCAGCACCTCTCTGTGGGTATTCCTCCTCCATAATAGCTGGGCAGGTCTGACACAACATACATGGGACATGGTGTCCCTTGCCTCTCATTTAAGTGACACTAAACACAAACTGTTTTAATTTACATTATCTCTTCTCTTTATGTATATGGATGATGGCACTGTATTTATTTTAATAAAAAAAAATCTGAGTACCTTTTTTCATAATTGACAAACAGCTCTCATGTGACCAAGCTGCAGGGAAACATTGGCAGGAGGAGCTTCTAGTCTTCAGCTGCCAGTCAGTTTTCATGTAAAAAAAACAGCTATCGAAAAAAAAAGGAAAAATACATAATTAAAGTCACATGAAAGCTTTGGGTTTTTTTTGTTTTTTTTTGTAATAGCAAACATGTCTATACTTACCTGCTCTGTGCTATGGTTTTGCACAGGGCACCCCCTTGTCCTCTTCTTTTTGGGTCCCTGCCAGGTTTCCTGGGTCCTCTTCCTCAAGCAGTGCCCCCAGGGAAAGCTGCTCACCCTGGGGGCACTGCTGCGCTCTCGTCCCCAAGCTGCTGCTCTATGCATCCATAAGACACGCGGAGCTGCGGCTCCCCCCCCCCAAATCTACACATCCCCACAGCTCTCTCCTCATTGGCTCACTAACTGTGAGTGGGAGCCAAGTTTTTCTTTGTTTCTATTATAACATTTCGCAAATTGGTAATTTTTCCCCTTCACTGATGTGCGTTAATGAGGCTTTGCTGATACGCAGCACTGTTGGGCACTGACAGGCAGCACTGATAAGTTGGCACAGATAGGCTGCACTGATGAGGTGGCACTGATGAGACAGCACTGGTGGGCATTGATGAGGAGGCACTGATAGGCGGTACTGATAGGTGACACTGCTAGGCAGCACTGATGAGCGGCGCTGACTGGTGGCACTGACTGGTGGCACTGCTGGGTGCAACTTCTCGGTGGCACTGCTGGTCACTGGTGGGAGGCACTGCTGGGCACTGGTGGGTGGCACTGCTGGGTACTGGTGAGTGGCACTGCTGAGTACTGATCATCAGGGCAGTGATCATCAGTTCCGATCTGCTCTGTGACAATTGCTGGTTATTGGCAGTACTTTCCTCACTCTGTGACAGCGTGAGGAAAGTACAGCTGATAACCGGCAACTGTATTTACTCGGTGATCTGCTGTGTCATGTGGTAAAAGCCTGCTGTGATTGGCCTTTTATCTCATCACGTGATCGGCTGTGTCTGTAGGACACATCGATCACAGAGATCACTGGGTGCGCGCCGCTGGGGTCTATTCAGCTTTCCTATTGCTTTTGTGAATGAAACAGGATCTATGAATGGAGGGGGCAGAGCTAGCAATCATCTACCTGTTCTCCATTCAGATATTGTGTTTCATTCATGATAGAAGAGGAATCGGCACAAGGGACATATTCTCCTTACTGTAAGTTATGTTCCTTGTGCTTCTTTTTCTGTTTGTGAGTTTGGCTGCACTTAGGCTTTAATGTTTTAAAAGTATTATTCTTTAGTAGTGTCAATTTACATAATTGCTTTACTTATTTTTAGATTAATTACATAATTGTTTTATTGTTTAAGAATCCATTTTATTTTGTCCTTACAGCTGAAATTAAAATTTGTTTCAAGTATTATCATGGAATCAGTGGATCTTTGAGAGCTACAACACCCTGCATCACTGTGAAAAATCCATCTGCTATGGTATGTGTAATATGAACTATGCTTTTCTACACACAGCCTACCTTACAGAAGAACTTCAGGAGTAATGTACTTAGATTGCATAGTAAGGAGTGTGAAATGTAAAACACAGTGAGGAGAATTTATCAAAACTGGAGCAGACAGAATTTGGAACAGCTGTGCATGGCAACCAATCAGCTTTTATTTTCAGCTTGTTCAGTTAAAGCAGAACTACATTGTATCTGAGCACCACAAACCAAAAGTGCAATTTCATTGATTTTTTATATTCAAAGCAAACTCCCCCCATCCATGTCTGCGTGCTTTATTTTGTGAGAAAAAACACCTCCTAGCATTTTTGGCTGTGGCCATCTTGAGTAAGGGCAGATGATTCATGTAGCACTTTCTGGAATCCATCTGCCCTTAGCTCTTACATGGAGGGAGTGCCAAGCTAAGAAAACCCTTCCTATCCTCCTGAAGACTCCTGGGATGTATGACATCATTTGCCTAGGCATATAAACCAAGATGGAACTGAAGAAATGTAAAAAACTGTTTAAAACAATAAGTAAGTAAATATGATATATGATGTTCCACTTTAAGCTTTGAAAATAACATCATTTTTTTGCCATGCACAGCTACTTCAAATTCTGTCTTCTCTAGTTTTGGTAAATTAGTGTCTATAGTGCCGGGCCCAGCCAAAATTTGCTCTCTCTTCCTAGTATAAATCAATTCTAGCCTACGCCCTCAGCACAGATTCCCCAGTACAAACCGGTCAGTAAAGTGTCCCCACCCAGATTTCCCCCCCCCCGCATAGACCCCTCAACAAAAAACAATCCTGCCAGGAAAGATCCCTCAGCACAGACCGATCCCTCCAGCATGGACTGACCCCTCAGCGCAGACCTCCACAATACAGACAAACCTCCCCAGCACAGAATCCCCAACACAGACCCCCCCCCCCCCCCCCCCCCCCCCAGCACAGACTACTCTTCCTAATCCCCTTTCCCTGCCCACATCCTCTATATAGGCACCCATTCCCCCAGTAAAGAATCCTTCCCCAGTAATGATCACTTGGTACAGACACCCCCCTTTTCCCATTACAAACCTCTCAGTAAAAGAAACCCCCTTCCCATCCAGGTACAGACACCCCTCTGCCCAGTACAGACCTCTAAGTAAAGACCCCCCCCCCCTTACTACACTAGATGATCTGATATTTGTGGTGGCTGTGGTAGAATATTGTCACTTAAACACCAATTATTTAAGTTTTACCTGTGAGAAACTTTCATTTGCATGCTATCAATTATTTTGAGCATGCGGTATTTGTGAATGCACCATGAATGTGTGTATAGGTCGATTAGAGGGGGATAGTTTTTCTATTTTATGTCAGTGTGAGATGTTTTGGATTTTTACTTTGATTAAACATATACCTAAAGAATTAATTTTGTTTCCAGTTAGTATAGATGACACCTCCTGTTTTTTTTTCTTCCCTGATAATGGATCATTTTGATTTTGGAGATATACATATCTGGAATTGTATTGTGGCAGCCTGAATTTTGTATAATTGAGTTCCTTTTCTTTTCGGATACTTGATATTTGTTTTTATTATCATAGATAATGCTTTCAGCTCTGTTTTACTTTTTTTCAATAAACCCTAAATCCCAATTACAGGCACAACAAAAAAATCCCCTTTCAGTGGCTCCCCTTCCACTGCCTAACTCTATTTTTACAATATTCCCTCCCCGTTCTTCCTGCTTATCCTGCATACCCTGTATAAAAAAAGTCTGTATATTTAACTATTTTTAATCCGTTGCGGATTAAATATGGTTCCCCTGTTTAGGTGAGTGACTGTTGCATGGGAGAGGAGGGAGCACCAACAATAGCTGAGCCTTGGGAGCCTAAGAGTGACCTCATGACTCCCAGAATTCACAGTTGTTGTCAATCGCTTCCTTTCACAGAGGAGCCAGAGCTGCTGAATCATATAACAGGACTGGATTAAATTAGGTCAGTACACATCTCTTTTTATTTTAAACAGGGTATGCAGGAGTAGGTAGGAGGGGGGGGAGGGGATGTGTTTAAGAATAGTTAGAATTAGGCAGCAGAGACTGTCACTTACTTGAATTCCTGCTCCCATGTCCTCATGTACATTGTAGGGCTGTTATTCCTGCATTGTACTTAGTGGAGAAAGGACTGTGACTGTGACCAGAAGCAGCTTATAGAAGAGTTGCAAGGATCAAGGGAATTTCTTGGAGAAGGGAGTAATAGTAATAAAAAAAATTATTACAGCTTCTTCTTCACCCATGCATCAGTGCCACTAGGCTAAAACATAACTTTTATTTGTTAAAGTAAAACCTTCATATGGACTAAATGAACACGTGTACTCACTTCCAAGGGAAGCATCGGGAATAAGCTCTCACTATATGGGATTATATCCTCATATTGGGCTCAATATGGTCCAACTAGCCACTATATCTGCTGCACATGAAAACCAGTATAAGTCACACATACAGTGAAAGAAATAAGTATTTGATCCCCTGCTGATTTTGAATGTTTGCCCACTCACAAGGAAATGATCAGTCTAAAAATCGAATGGTAGGTGTATTGTTACAATGAGAGACAGAATAGCAACAAAAAAAATCAAAAGAAATGCATGTCTAATAAATTATGCACTGATTTGCATGTTCATGAGAGAAAAAAGTATTTGATCCCCTTCACAAAACATGACTTAGTACTTGATGGCAAATCCCTTGTTGGCAATCAGAGGTCAGACGTTTCCTGTAGTTGGCAACCAGGTTTGCACACATCTCAGGAGGGGTTTTGGCCCACTCCTCTTGGTAGATCCTCTCAAAGTCATTAAGGTTTGGTGGCTGACGTTTGGCAACTTGATCTTTCAGCTCCCTCCACAGATTTTCAATTGGATTAAGGTCTGGAGACTGTCTAGGCCACTCCAGGACCTTAATGTGCTTTTTCTTGAGCCACTCCTTTGTTGCCTTGGCCATGTGTTTTGGGTCATTGTCATGCTGGAACACATCACAACAATAAAACACAAACAGGCCACCCAGAATGACACGTATAGCTGGTGTCATTGACTTATCTCAGACTCACTTGTATAAGTGTGGATCCATAAACCCAAAAGGTACATACTAAGCAAAATGGTAGTGTGACAAGAACACCCCTACCTGGAAAAAGAAGGTTACTAGGTGATCCACGCGGAGTAACATAAATTCAAAAATATTCCAAACAATACTTTATTTGATCACATAGATCATAAGGAGGTTAAACATGAGCACGGTGTACATATGAAAAAATAAATAAAATCATGTTAAAAAGCACTAGGCGTCTTCAGTTTCGGGTCATCTTAGCAAATAGAGTACCATAAGGCAGAGTTATATAGTGGTGATGTAGTTATCCTGGGTTTCCATGGGTTTTCATCTAGTATTCAAATGAACCATGTATTCAGCAGATGTGTTCCCAATATATGTCAGGTATCCCCTGGTATGAAACAGCTGGAACACAGAAATACATAGTATATATATATAGAAGTATGAAAACCAAAAAACCAAAACACATCCAAAGTTCACCAGACCTCCCTCTACAGTAGTCAATGGATACTACTATTACCTTCTCAATAGTGAAATTAACAGGCCAACTTCTCAAATGTAGGGACTTCCTGGATAGCCACCCCAAGTGAAACAGGGTCCACAGTACCAAATGATTCTGAGGATATATATAGAAAAATAATGATACATATAAAAATCGTGGGCATCAGGTCACCCTGAAAACAGGACACACATAAAGTGGGTATATTACCATAAATGAAGATCAAGAAGACTTCTGTCGACTTGAAATAAGATCAGGTCCTTGATGCTTTTCCAAGATACATGTAGGGGTGGGAAGCCAGGTAGTCACAATACATGGATTCCAAACACATAAACTGTGTATATAGCGTATAGCAGGCTATGCAGGCCTGAGTTTTTAGACCCAATGTAGGGTTTCCAAAAATTACTCAAAATGAGAAGATTATTGCTCCATATACTATGTATATAGCATGTAACAGGCTATACAGGCCTGAGTATTTATACCCAATAAAGGGTTTCCAAAAATTACTCAAAATGAGAGGGTTATTGCGGTTTCATGAGGATATGGCTATGTCACAGCACAAACCCTGGATAGGATAGCGTATATATATATATATATATGTAGATCGTCCTCAAAAGAGGATTTACAAAAAATTCCCCGTACACAGGGTAATTTAGGCCCATATAGCATGCCCTTTTAATACCATAAATGCTCTATAGATCTCAACAGCCGTAAGCTGGAACTGGAACACCCATCCACGACCCATTTTAAATGCCCTGGTGAGGGAAGAAGGTTCCCTTTGATGCGGTGCAGTTGTCCTGTCCCCTTAGCAGAAAAACACCCCAAAAGCAGAATGTTTCCACCACCATGTTTGACAGTTGGGATGGTGTTCTTGGGGTCATAGGCAGAATTCCTCCTCCTCCAAACACAGCGAGTTGAGCTGATGCCAAAGAGCTCGATTTTGGTCTCATCTGACCACAACATTTTTAACCAGTCCTCCTCTGCATCATTCAGAAGTTCAGTGACAAACTTCAGACGGGCCTGGACATGTGCTTTCTTGAGCAGAGGTACCTTGCGGGCACTGCAGGATTTCAATCCTTGTCGGAGTAGTGTGTTACCAATTGTTTTCTTGGTGGCTGTGGTCCCAGCTGCCTGGAGATCATTGACAAGATCCTCATGTGTAGTTCTGGGATGATTTCTCACTGTTCTCATGATCATTGACACTCTACAAGGTGAGATCTTGCATGGTGCACCAGACCTAGGGAGACTGACAGTTGTTTTGTGTTTCTTCCATTTGCAAATGATTGCACCAACTGTTGTCACCTTCTCACCAAGCTGCTTGGCGATAGTTTGGTAGCCCAGTCCAGCCTTGTGTAGGTCTGCAATCTTGTCCCTGACATTTTTGGGCAGCTCTTTGGTCTCTGCCATGGTGCAGAGTTTGGAATCTGATTGTTTGATTGTTCTGTGGACAGGTGTCTTTTATACAGGTAACAAAATGATATTAGCAGCACTCCCTTTAAGAGACTGCTTCTAATCTCAGCTTGTTACCTGTATGATAGACACTTGGTAGCCAGAAATCCTGCTGAATGATAGGGAATCAAATACTTATTTCCCTCATGAACATGCAAATCAGTGCATAATTTGTTAGACGTGCATTTCTTTTGATTTTTTTTCTTGCTATTCTGTCTCTTAGTGTTACAATACACCTACCATTTGAAATTAGATTGATAATTTCTTTGTGAGTGGGCAAACATTCAAAATCAGCAGGGGTTCAAATACTTATTTCCTTCACTGTATAGCAGATATATGAAAGGTTAACAATAACCCTGTAAACTATCTATAAGCATGAACTATATGCTAAGGGTACAGTGACTGATATTGAAGGGCTTGACTGCTCTCCCTAAAGCCCAATATGCCAACTGTTCCAATTACACCCTAGTAGTCAGATATACCAGCAAGTTGCAAAGGAACAATGAAGCCCACTGAAAGCCAAATAAAAGAAACTGGATCAGACTGGCAGCTCTGACTTATTATCTAGTCCTGGGAGGTAGAAGATACTGCTTGACATCTAGGCAGAGACATACCATTGTTGAATATCAATTATTCTAAGCAATGCTGCTTTTTACACTCTGCTCAGTGGTAATAATTATTGATTTTTTTAATGTAGCAAGCTCCAGTTTCTGTAAGTAAATTCATCCTTCCACCCTTTCATTCACAGGAAAGAAAAGAATATGCACGTGTTGAGTTAAGGTAGACATCTTTTGCTCATGTCAACAAAATAACTGTGCATTAAGGGCCAATTCATACTGGGATCACACTGGAATGCACAGATTCAATCAAGTGTGTTCTTGTGGCTGTGCAATTTTGAATGGGCTACAAATTGCACCAGATCACAGAATGGTTAGTGCATGCACTTAACCATTGCTTTGTGATCTATTTTTGGGGTGCCAATAACAATATAATGGTACCTGCATGAAGATCGCAAGGATCGTGTGTTTGAACGTGATGCAGGAATCGCACACAGAATACACTGGTGTGATCCAGCCCTAACGTTTTTTGTTTTTTTTTAACTTATGCATCCCTTTAAACAGTCCTTTTTCTTTATAGATGGGAGCTGATGGCACTGAAGGTTATTCCGCTAGCCAACAATGTAGAAAATTAGCCAGCTTTACTCTATCAGGTAATTACTTATTTTATTTGTAAACACAAAACCGCTTTAAAGTTTATGTAAAACCATGTTTTTTTAGTTTTGTAAAAAATGTGGAAGGGTTAGAACCAATGTCAGGTTTTTACTGTTGTCTTGGAGAGAATTGCCCAATGCACTGGACTTTGTGACCATTGTCTCCATTACAGATGGATGGGAAATCCAAAATATTTTAGTTGACACAGGAAAAGAGGGGTGGGGCAAAATCTTTCAATGAGGAAACCTGTTTGGTGACAGCTGTCTAACATTGGATATCCCTTGCTTTTGAGAGATATCATCTTGCTTCCTGCTTTGTCTCTGGGACAGAAAGTTAAGGGAAATCTCCCCAAGACACACACAAAAAACCTGACAGGTCTCATGACCATTCCCTACTCCCCTTTGGCTTTATTTACACTTTAAGACTGCATATATACATAGTTAAAGATAATAAGAAAATATCGATAGACAAGAAATAAAACTGTTTTATATATGTTATCTACCACATTTGTTTTTAATAGTCTATGTATTCCATAGATATTTGTGTTTCAGCATGAAAGTACTTGAACTGATGCTTGAACTGTGTAGAATTCAAGTGTAAGCTATTAATAATTAAACTGAGTAGATGCAAATGTAAGGTATTCCCAGAAAATGCAAGATGATATAAATTAAATATCTGCTTGGCTGATCCTTATGCCAATGTGACATACATGGGCTTTTGAAATGTACATCTTTTCTGCTGATGTAAAAATATTTGCATATCAAAAGAATTTGTTTTTTCCTTGTCATCATAAACAAGATCACCATCTTCAATGATGAAATAGTTCAAAATACAGATTGATAAATAGAAACTACATTAAACAAATACTGAAAGCAATGTACACAGGTTTTAATAGCAGAAGTAAAAAGCAGGCTTCTAAAAGGGCCTGTACATACGTTTTGCTTTCTCATCAGTGTCGTTCTTAGAGGCCTAGGAGCCTCTGAACCAAGGACATATGGTGTACACACATCAGCCAATACTCAGAGTTCTAGCACATCCCCCCTTTCCTAAACTGTACATCTGTGACCATTAAAACAAGAAGGGGCATGTCAGAACTTTGATTTTATGAGCTGGAAGGGGGGGGGGGGGTTTATGTAGATTGCTTCTGGGTGGCTCAGGGCAGCATGTGCTTTATGGTTCCTGCTCTTTGCTAGTTATGCTGACTTGATAAACTTTACTGTGACAGAGGTACTTGCTGAAGTTTTTTACTGTGCTCAAAATGTATCTGTTGTGGCCAAATACATAGAAAAACTACAGTCCATACTATGCTTACAGAATATTTTTGCCTAAATTCAAGGTAAATGTACATTCATTTGTATCTCTTGGTTGCATTTTACAGGACATGGGATTTTGGACAATGGTTTATGATACTGGCAAAAAAAAAAAGCTGTAAGGATAGCCCTAGCATAACCTTACCACTCCCAGAAAGTCTATTTTTTTCTAGTGTTCTTAGGTAAGCAGATATCTGTTTTGAGAGTAGCATTTTTTGTTTTTATTTTTTCCTTTGCTAAGTTTTACATCCAGACTCTTCTGGCTAGTTTACTATCTTTGCATTGCCACCTAAGTTTCCACCTTGCATATTTCTGGATTGTTTGACTCCTTGGCTGACCCTTGGGGAACCAGCCCTGTAATGCTGCTTTAGGCACTGGATCCTGCATTTAAAATACCAAGGCATGTAGTGCAACATACAAGTTAGCCACAGAGTGCTCTGAAATTCCATGGCATGGTGCATGTGTTAGTGGAACCCAGTCCCTGAAGCTCCCTTAGGGGCTATACTCACTTTAAGGGTGAAGACATGGTTGGGACTTAGTCCCTAACATTTGTTTCTCCTCTTTTGGGACCATAAGACCTTCATGGTAAGTCAGGACTTTAGCCCAGAGTTCTCTTCACTCCAGTTCCTGTGGAGTAAATATAAACCTCTGGGCTCTGGACGCAACCCATGGCATTAATTGCCAGTCACATATCCATTTTTCCCTCTCTTATGTGTCCCTTGCTCCTGCATGGGTTGGGGCTGCCTCTACACTTGCACAGCCTCAGTCTCATGGAGACTTGCTGTGCATGTGTGCACCACTTTCTCCACAAAATACACAGCTGGTGCCTCTACTCCCTGCTAGCTAGAAGGGTTATATAAAGTATACACCTTTCTGCTCTGAAGTACAGGCCATGAGTACACCTGGTTTGTTAACATCTACTACCAATGGTGAATCACAAATTCAAGGGGAATAGATCAGCCGGCCTTGCCAGCTTAAAGTCTGCTAATAGCACAGTCCTGATTCTGATATGCTAACAGCTCTGATTCTGATATTCTCACAGTCTCCAATTTTTCAGAGAGCTCGTTTGCTCCTTCTGATATACCTCCTCTGCCTTTGTATCCATAGAAGAGTTCTCAGCCACTATAGCTAAGTTTATGTGTAGGCTCTCAGCCCTGTTAGAGGCCTCAGATAACAGGGGACACAAGCGGCTCTGTCAGCCTCTGCTTTAGGATCCATCTCTGATTCTCCCCTTGCAGTTTCTTTGCTTCCTGTAGATAAGCTGGAGGAAGGTTCCTCTTCTGATTCTGAAGAATCTGCACAGGAAAACTCCCAACCAGCTGATATCTTTCCCAAGCTTAAAAAATTCTATTTCTCTCCGTACTGACACAGTGCACACATATATTACCTTGGGGAAGCCATCGGCGACCTGACTAAAGGTCAACAGCTTAGGTTCCTTTGAAAGAGCCTCAGCTGGCCAAAACAATTCCTGTACCGTCCCTGTCGTGGACCAGGGCATTTCCTGCTTTTAAAATCTTTTATGATCCCTGTTGAGGATGCCTCTGATTTCAAGGACCCTGTGGCTAAAAAGGTTAGAAGCACTCATCAAGACATTGTTTTCTCTTGCTGGTCATGATTTACAACCTACTGTTGTGACCATGTCAGTCTGTCAGACCTTAGTTGTCTGATCCACCTGTTCTCCAACAATTAGGCCTCTTACCTATAACCTTGTGCCACTGTGTGGATGGGTTAGCAGATACATTCTGAAAAAAATCTAGGATGAGCCTCCTTTCAGTGCATATGTGAAGGACCTTTTGCTCAAGTGTTAATTTACAGAACTTTGTACATGATGCGCCTCATAAAAATACCCTTTGAAAGGGAACATCTTTTGGTGACTTCTTGGACACTTACATCATGGAAGTTACAGGAGTGCCCCTGAAGAAAAAGGCAAAAGTTCATCTAGGCAAGCTTGCATTTCCTGAGACAAAAAAACTTGTCAGTGTGGGGAGACACTTGTTGGCCTTCGTAGTCTTCTGGGCACAGGATGTCTGGGTTCATAAACTTTTATCCACGTGCTACAAACCAGAGTTTTGGTCTTTGTCCTACCCCAGTTCATTCTCTTGAATTTGCTGTCATTGTCCCCGTTCCAGAAAAGAAGAGGTTTCAGGGGTCATACTCCAACCTGTTCACTCTCCCCAAGGCTAGAGGAGGCATTCACTCCTTTATGGATATGAAGATTCTCTTTAAATTCAAAACTTCTGTTTGGAATCTGCCAGGTCATCAAGCTGAGGGAACTTCTTGCCTGACTTTTGGTCTCCCCCTCTTATGGGGTCTCCCTTCAGAGGAGCCCTCTAAGTACACGGGGTGGCCTTGCTTCGGCAGGCCTTCTAAAGAAAGTGGTCCATCTGGTTTTGGCCAGGTGGACCAGTGAGTGCCTCAGTCCCTGTCAGGAGCCTTGCGCCCCGGGAGATCAAGGCTAGGTCCCTTTCTCTTTGGAGGAGGGCTAGACGTACATCCCGTGCACTTTTTTGTGTGCTTCACTTTTGTGTGCTCACTTTTTTTTTTGCACTGGGTGTTAGTTTTGTGAATGTGTTCACTACACCAAAGGAAAAAGAAATAGACAAAAAAAAAACTTCTGGCCTCTGTGGATAAGGAGAATGCCTACTTGCACAACCCTAAAAAAACCAGCCAAATTATTCTCCAGTGTCCATAAATAAAGTCATTCAAAACTCTGATTCCAATAAGGAAAAATTCCAAAATCTTTGCTGCCGAGCCCTCCAAAATGGCTCCAAAGGAAAATGTGTGAACCTCAAAAAAAGAGAAAACTAATATAATGCATTACCTTCATTAAATCAATCCTCAAAAATAAAAAAAACAAAAATTCATAAACCAAAAATGCACTGTGCAACTTCAAATAAAACGTGACCACATAAGTGATAGTGAACAACCATGATGGTGAATCACTCTGTGAATTGAGATAATCCAAGTGACAATACAGTGTGCACTTCTAAAGTGTAATCTCCTGTGCACAGCCCTCTTCAGATCACCCCACAGATTTTCAATCTGAATCAGGTCTGGGCTCTGGCTGGGCCATTCCAAAACTTTAATCCTTTTCTGGTGAAGCCATTCCTTTGTTGATTTGGATGTATGCTTTGGGTCATTGTCATGCTGAAAGATGAAGTTCCTCTTCATGTTCATCTTTCTAGCAGAAGCCTGAAGTTTTTGTGTCAATATTGACTGGTATTTGGAACTGTTCACAATTCCCTCTACCTTGACTAAGGCCCCAGTTCCAGCTGAAGAAAAACAGCCCCAAAGCATGATGCTGCCACCACCATGCTTCACTGTGGGTATGGTGTTCTTTTGGTGATGTGCAGTGTGGTTTTTGCGCTAAACATATCTTTTGGAATTATGGCCAAAAAGTTCAACCTTGGTTTCATCAGACCATAACATATTTTCCCACATGCTTTTGGGAGACTTCAGATGTGTTTTTGCATAATTTAGCCGGGCTTGGATATTTTTCTTTGTAAGAAAAGGCTTCCGTCTTGCCACTCTACCCCATAGCCCAGACATATGAAGAATATGGGAGATTGTTGCAGATATTCCTGCAGCTCCTTTAATGTTGCTGTAGGCCTCTTGGCAGCCTCCCAGACCAGTTTTCTTCTCATCTTTTCATCAATTTTGGAGGGACATTCAGTTCTTGGTAATGTCACTGTTGTGCCATATTTTCTCCACTTGATGATGACTGTCTTCACTGTGTTCCATGGTATGTCTAATGCATTGGAAATTCTTTTGTACCCTTCTCCAGACTTATACCTTTTAACAATGAGATCCCTCTGATGCTTTGGAAGCTATTTTTTTTTGTTTTAAACATTTTATATTTTTACATTTCTTCCTGGTTTCTGGCTTAAAACATAATTATGTCATACATCCTAGGAGTCTTTATGGGTTTTTTTTTTTTTAACTGGAGGAGGGGTGGAATGCTTTTTTCCCCCTTTTGCCTGCATGTCTAAGCTAAGGGCAGATGGATTCTACATAGTAAATGTTACATTAATCATCTGTCTTTATGTAGGATGGCCGTGGCAAAAAACATTGGGGCAGAGGTCAAAGGGTTTTTTTTAGCAAAATAAAGCATGGAGACATGGATGAATGGGTGAAGTTTGCTTTGAATATAAAAAATTTGTCGAATAGCGTTTTATGGTTTGTGGTGCTTAGATAGAGTTTAGCTCCAAAGTTTTTCTCCCCAGACAAGCTCCTGGCCCTCCATTCCGATGTTTGGCCCCTACGACTCAGGAGATTCCCCACCATTCGCTTTTGTATGTCCAATTTTATTCCAGATCATTGCAACTCATAAAATATGGCTAAGTGGGACAAACATTCTTCTCCACTTTTTAGCACTGTTCTCAGTACAAATTTCAGGAATAGGAAATTGGAAGGTGGATTTTCTCAATCATCAGCATCTGGGTGCAGGTGATCTTATTTGTGTTTATGCCACTAAACCTCTTTCCCTGTATGCTTTGCAGGATCGAGATGGAGGGCATGCCAGTGATTCTCATTGCACCGAACTGGCCCATAATGATGTGGTACTTTCGACATTCTCAAACTGGCAGAGACTCTGTGTGGGCCCTCGCATAACATCCAGATCTTCTGTCCCAGGGGCCAGCCCACAACCTACTTTTCTTTTGCTTGACGCCTGAGGGTCAAATTCAGTTCTTCCTATGGTCCTGAAAGCTACGAAATGTGCTTGCAAAGTTTCTTGCTCCACTTGGATAGCATCAGAACTGTTGGTATATCCTAGGCTTTTCAGAATCGGGCATCTGTATCCCAGATTTGTAAGGCCACCGCCTGGTTCTCTGTTCACACATTTTTCTAGTTCTACATGATGGACTTTGAGGCCTTGGCTTAGGCCACAAGGTGCTTCAAGCTGTTATCTGAGTATTTGTTTGGGTTCCTTAAATGCTTGCTTTTCTTGTGGGCCTGTTGGCAGTTCTAAGTTGCTATGTTGTTGCCCACCCCTCAGTTTTATTGGATAGTGGCTGCATCCTATGGTCTAAGAATACAAGCTCTGCGACCTGTATTGTATGATTTAAGATGATTGGAATTTCTATTTATCTCTACATTTTTCTGGGAGTACAGTATAGAACACATGTCACTCCCATCTGTGTCTTGATCACTCTATATTGCTTGCTAAAAAACTGAATCCTCACTGAGAGGGTGGGGTTACATGGGTACGCTCTGGAGGCAGCCCTTTTCCAGTGTCCAATCACTCTGAAAGTAGCAGCAAATAACCCATGGTCTATAGTTTTATGGGTCTAGTACAAGTCCTGTACTATATTCAAAGATAAGGAATTTATCGGTAAGTCAAAAGGCAAGTCAAAAGTCCTTGGAATGAATTACAGGGCATGGGTTCCTTCCCTCTCTTTTTAAGGATTCACTCCTTATTGCTTGCTACTAAACTGAGGCTTTCTTGGAGAGAAAGGGTTGTGCTAAGACTTTTCTTACAGCTTTGTTTGCCAGTGTCCAGTCACCTGACGGTAACTGGTAAGCTAGCATAACCCATGGTCCAAGACTAAGATCATGTGTCCTGTAATATACCCCATTAAAAGGATTTTAGAAGTCAAGCATTTTTTTTTAGCTACTATGATTGTGGCCACTCTTCCCTTATTAATGCTCAACTTGTTGTAGCCATACAGATCTGAACCCAGATATAAGGAACCCGGTTCTGTTTTCTAGCTGGTGGCACTAATGTTTTCATTATATAAATTATATTATTGTCGATTTGTCATTTTACTGGAGTAGTGGGTTATAAAGCATACAGCTGATATGATTTTGGTTGTGTCACCTTTACCATTTCATCTTTCAGATCTCAGAGCAGTAGGGTTAAAGAAGGGAATGTTTTTTAATCCTGACCCTTATCTGAAGATGTCTATTCGACCTGGAAAGAGAAGCACATTTCCAACATTTGCACATCATGGCCAGGAAAGGAGATCAACTATCATAGCGAACACTACAAATCCAATATGGCACAGAGAGGTAACAAAGTATAAAAATATCTTCACTCTGTCTACCTTTTCAATGCAGTAGACAATTTATGGAATATAAATAAATGGTCATTTGAGAATTACAGAAATGTATGCTATTTTTTTATGGGAAAGGGCCTAGACCAGTGGTCGGCAAGCCGCGGCTCGCGAGCCACATGCGGCTCTTTACACAATTTAATGCGGCTCTTCTGTGTGCCGGGCGCCCGCTCCCCTCCCTCCTCTCGGGCGGGCCGCCCCAAAAGTCAGGACTCTGCAGCTAGCCCAGCAATGGGCAAACTACGGCCTGGCGGACCCTTTAATCCGGCCCACGGATCGTGGCAAACATTGACTGTCAGCATGTAGGCGGGGCAGCGTGACGAACTCCTCTCCTCTCACAGTCCGCCCTGAAGACCGGAACGGCGCGGGAACACGGCGAGAGGAACGCGCGGAGCAAAGTTAAGTGAATTGACACAATATGGGGAATGAATTACTATAGGGGGGATTAATTACTATATGGGGGATGAATTACTATATGGGGGATTAATTACTATGGGGGATTAATTACTATATGGGGGATGAATTACTATATGGGGGATTAATTACTATGGGGGATGAATTACTATATGGGGGATGAATTACTATATGGGGGATGAATTACTATATGGGGGATGAATTACTATGGGGGATGAATTACTATAGGGGGGATGAATTACTATGGGGGATGAATTGCTATATGGGGGATGAATTACTATATGGGGGATGAATTACTATGGGGGATGAATTACTATATGGGGGATGAATTACGATGGGGGATGAATTACTATATGGGGGATGAATTACTATATGGGGGATGAATTACTATGGGGGATGAATTACTATATGGGGGATGAATTACTATGGGGGATGAATTACTATGGGGGATGAATTACTATATGGGGGATGTATTTTCAGTTTTAAAAATGTGGCTCTCAAAATAAATTTCAATCGTGGTTTTGGCTCAGTTGAAAAAAAGGTTGCCCACCACTGGCCTAGACACAAAGCTGATACAAAAGAATAGCCAATATTGGGAGACAATTGTGTGTATTTGCCACTGCGCCACCCCCCCTTTCCCAGGTTTACAAATCTTTATCAATCAGTTTTGATTATTCAAGACTGTTACTATTGTTTTCTTTAAAACTACTGTTATAAGGCTAGAACTGAGAATATCTTCTCAGAACATTACCATACATGTTTCAAAAAACAATCCTGCATATTAATTGAAAGGTGTTGTTGTAAGGCCTTGACATAAAATGTCTATGGCTACAGCCCTACAGTTAGTTAATTTCCACATATTAGGTAAATAAAGGTCACTCAGAAATGGGAAAATGTCTCCTATATGTTTTGCCAAGACTCAGAAGTCATCCTACATCTTACAGAAAAGGGACATTCTTTTGAGAACAATTAACATTTTGGACAGAGAGGACAACTTGTTTTTAAGAGGATTGAAAGAGGCCATCTACGTCAAAATGAAACAACAGTCCCTGAACTCTTTCTTTCACATAGAATGTCTTTTTTGTTGTTTGTTTTTCATACATATATAAATGTTTTTTTTTACATATTTTATTGCTAATCCTGTTTTGACATATCTGCCCTGGTGATTTGACAATTCACACCTTTTAACCATGTAAATCAAGGAACCAACACCTATGCAGGCTTCCTGATACTAACAATGGGGTTAGGTAACCAGGTCAGGATGGCACCACAACTTTTACACCTCTCATTCTGTTCTACACATTTCATGGTGATTTAGATTAAGATGTCTTTAGGTGTGAATATAAGTGCTGGGGTATCTTCCTAATATTCCAGAAACTGAAGCTTGATAAGCTACAAAATGTATTTAGCATTGAAGAACAAGTTCAGTTGAGTGTGATTAACTATTGCTAGATAATTGTAATATAGACATTTAGGATTGATTTATGGGACAGTAAATAAAGTGCGTTGCCCATATAGGGAGTAACTTCCTGCCTTCCCAGCATGAGTATAGAGGGGGCATGTGACTCTTTCTTTCCAAATGACAGTACTGCTTTTTGCTGATTGGCCCAGCACTGTCACATGGGGTCTGGGAAACAGTTCTCACCTCTGTTTAGGCTCCAAATGGTGATTGAGTTTATGCAGATATTTTATCTTTGCTTTTATCATCCAAACAAAGTGGTTGAGGGGTGAAGGAAAGGTATATCCTGCTGTGGAGATGACTACATTGATCCTGTTGCATTGCCCTGCATAAATACCTATTCCCTTTTGATTTTTATAAAGCTATGTATTTTATTCCAAATAGTACAGATAATTAGAGAGTAGAAACACATGCTTTAGGCTTCATGCACTTAGTGTTTTTTTAACCTCCTAGAAGCTATTAGCATTTTTTTTTTCTGCTCCTAGAAGATAAATAGTTTTATCCTATGTGTCCATGTACACTACTTTAGGCTATTAGCATTTTTTGAGCCTCAGGATCTAGGAGCAGAAAAAAATTGTTATTGTATACTTTTTTGGAGCATTTTTCCTGCAGAAAAAAAACGCTACTAAAACTCACTTAACAGCTAGTGCTCCTAAACGCTTCTGAACGCTATTAAAACACTACAAAAAATGCGATTACTAGTGTTTTTTTATACATTTTTTTTTGAGCTTAAAAAAACCTGCTAGTGTGCATGGAGCCTTAGTGATTAGCTAGTTAATTTTTTTACATTCAGCAAAATGAGCAGGTTCAACTATTAAATGTGTTTAGTGCACACAGAGTTTTAAGCCATCTTGTTATTAATTTATAACATGACTTTTGAGAGTTGGCATTCACTGTGCGGGACACACTTATTCTACAAACAATGCGTATAGCTTGTTATGAACAAATGTTATTCAATTCTGTTCCCAATTGGATATTTAATGGGGATTAGAGCAATCTATCTATTTGAGAAGCTTATATGTGTTGGAAACCAAGTGTGTATTTCCTTATTTAAAGTATCACATTGTTTCATTGCAACACGTAAGAACCCAGTTTATATATACTTACTCCTGGAGATTTTTTTTTTTTTTTTTTTTTTAATCATAGTTTTTATTAACGTTTTTCCAGTTTTTCCAAAAAGTAAAACAAACATTCCAAAACACATCACGTCATCCATTCAGGGTCATTATACGTATCAAGTTTCATATGGATGATCAAACAGTTGTCTATTGCTTCAATGTAAATATATGTAAAGTATAGTGTATATATTTCAAAGACCTCTCATATCATATCATAATTTCTAGAAGCAGAACCTAACTATGTACAATATATACACTATCTTTCAGTACAATAAAGTATCAACTTTGTTATGACATAAGCCTCATGTGGTTATTGCAGATGACAGTAGCGTATCCTAACGTGCTGTTAGAAATCATGGGGCCCCATACAGGCTACCTAACAGCTCCCCACCCCTGAAAATATCAAATGATATTTTCCCTAAAAATACACAAAAATCATTACTAACAGGGACATACCTAACATAACATAACTTAAAATATTTCTGCAAAATATAAAAATAAAACTGTATTTAGTTAATAAATAAAGCTCTGGGTGTAAATGAGGTCTTGGCCTGTGTCTGTGTCAGTGTCTTTTTTTTTTTTTAAATGTGGCTATTGCTGTGTGCAGACAGCCTATGTTACACTATGGGGACACAGCAGCTGTACGAACATAGCCGTAGGTCCTAATTTAACAGGTGTGTGGATGCAGGTGTATGGCCTCCAAACACTGACAGTGTGTATTTGCGGCCGCTCACCTGTATCTGCACACTTATCAAATTGGGACCTTTGGCTGTGTTCATACAGTGCTGCATCCTAATGAAGTAATAAATGGCTCCAACCACACAAACTGCTCATTCACACTGTATGGGCCAGATAACCCATGTGAATAAGCCCTTAATTTTATACATTATTTTAAAAAAAATTTAAAACATATTTTTTACGACTTGTTATATTTTAAATGTTTAAATGTATTTTTTTACATTTTTTTTACAACTATTCTTTTAGGGGAGGGCATGAGGGCTGCTTGGATAAAATATCAGGGGTCTAAACAGACCTCTGACATCTCACCTTTGTGACAGCGAAAGAAATTGTGGACACAGATTCTTCAATTCCTTTCTCTGCTGCCTCAGCTGCACTACAGATGAATGAACAGGAGACAGAGGCTCCTGTTCATTCATAAAAATAAAATTAAACAGTAGCAAAGCACTAAAAGATGCCCAATATATAGCACTCACTCAAGTAGGAAAGATCTCAGCTAGTGCTATATAGATAAAGAAGAAATCTCCAAGTACTGTAGTAATCCGCAATGCTGAAGGGTGGCTCAAATAACCACTTAAGCTCCAAAAGGTTTTACCCCTGTCATGACCAGGCCATTTTCTGCTAATCGGCACTGCACTAATTTAACTGGTAATTGCACGCACATGCAACGCTGTACCCAAATAAAAATGTATATAATTGTTTGAAAAAAAGACTGAAAATTCTGAAAAAATTCCCAATATTTTTTACTTTCTGCTGTAAAACATATCCAGTGAAAAGATTTAAAAATCAGATTTCTTCATAAATGTAGGGCAAAATTCTGCTACATATCTTTGGTAAAAAAAAAAATCCCACTAGGCGTTTATTAATTGGTTTGCGTGAAAGTTATAGCATCTGCAAACGATGGTATATATACAGGGATTTTTTTTTTTTTTTTTTTTAATACTAGTCATGGCGGTGATCAGCGACCTATAGTGGAACTTTGATAGTGTGGAATGCAATCTGACACTAACGCTTTGTGGAAACAGGCTAACTGACAACACCAGTGACATTGATTACAGTGATCAGTGCTAATAATATACACTGTCACTGTACTGATGACACTGGCTGAGAAGGAGTTAACATCTAGGGGCAATCCAAGGGTTAACTTTGTGCCTAACAAGTGTAAAGTGTTTAAAGTGTGCTGCTTTTACTAAGCAATGTGACTGTTTTTACTCCCTGCTTTGCCAC